ATATTTTTTGCTGGACCTTGAAAAATTAAAATTTGATATGCCTCATCATTTATATAAAATGTTATTTTTTTATAATTCTGTTATCTCTTTAAATAATAAATATATTTTAAATATGCAACCCTAAAACCTAAACCCTAAACCTTTCTATATTTACTAACATTCATAAGATCTTTACTTAAACAAATATCAAAGAAAAATCATAAAAAAAAATTAAAATCAAAATATATACACCATACTATTAACTAGTTTTCTATAAAAATAATATAAATTTAAGAAATAAACTGCTTACACAAAATGAAACTACAGATAGATTAAAAATGAAAAATGTTATCGTGTGAGCTATTGTTGCTAGCTCAAAGGCTATTAGCAACTTAGCATGTGAGGTTTAACTATGCCGAGAATATTTTAAAGATGTTCTTTTTGTCTGAAAACTTAAATCATGTGAGACATTGGTCTCATACCGAGACTCGAACTTGGGCTCTTGTCTTTTTATCTCCAGGGAATCGAACTAGGTCTGATGTAGCGGTGCCCCCCCCCAGACACTTCATTTCTGATATAGCACGTCTGCTTTGCCATGCCCTCAACCGTTGCTGCGTCACTGTTTAGCATCCTAGCTGCCCGAATCAATGCTGCCCAGTACTGTTGCACGGACTCCTCTCTTGAATTTGTGATCCCTCATCGTGAGGAAGGCACGTTCAGCAGGCTGTCCAAGCTGGAAGAGGCAGCGGCCACGTTGAATTGCCTCCTCCCAAGATTCCTCTTCAACTCCACTCCGATGGGCCATAAAAAGTCGTTGCGCTTCCCCTTCCAGAGCCATGCATAATCTCTCTCCCTGCCACTTTGTTGTTGTGTGCTGCACACTTGAAAATCTCCAGATAGAGCTCAAAGTCTTCTCCCATTTTGTATATAGGATACTTGACGTGAGCCAATGACGAAACTTCTGGGCAGAAAAGCTCCTTTCTCGTTGTAGCATTTCCCGCTACTACTAATCGCCATGTGACCTGGGGGTCCTTCAAGAGTGCAACGTCAGCATTCTCCAGCAGCCTCTTAGTGGTTGCCTCCACTCTTGGTTCCTTAGACAGCCGGTCAGACGCATCCTCCCTTTCCCTGAGCGGAGTGGAGCATTCGAGTCCCCTTCGTGGCCAGATGCCAATCCTCGTGTCAGCGGAGATGCCATGCTTTCAGTTCATGCCAGACGAGAAAGGCGCCATGGCCCAAGCACGTCACTAGCACCAAGGGTAGATCACCAAGATCCCCCCACCACTGGCCGCCTCGGCTCAGCTCATTCCTCATCACTTGATCCCCCCACCACTGGCCTCCTCGGCTCAGCTCATTTCTCAGCCCTGGTTGGATGTATGGTGGCTCCAACTTTTGGATGCCATGCCTTGTGACCAAACCTCTTGGTCACACTGGCTGTCCTAGCCAGGAAAGTCCTTTTGGCCATGCGTGTCCTCCACACAAGCATGTTACTGCGCAAGCCCTCATGCTCAAAATTTTAGTCATGCCAGAAATGGAATGAAAAAGGAAAATT